CCTCCCCCTTCGCCTCCTCCTCCTCCTCCTCCTCCTCCTCCTCCTCCTCCTCCTCCTCCTCCTCCCCCTCCTCCCCCGCCTCCTCCACCCATTCCTCCCCCTGCTCTTCCTCCTCCTCCTCCTCCTCCTCCTCCAAGAGGACTGCTTTTCGCACGCCGCTGCAAGGGTGTCCGCCACGCCAGTGTCACGAAGGCTCCTCCGCCGGGAACGGTCCCGACGCACGGCGTCGTCGGGATCACGTAGCAGAGCCGGCTGCCGTTGACGCACCACGTCATCAAGTAGAGCGTGAGGTGCGGGTCGTCGAGATCAACAAGAATCGGAGGTTGATAAACCTCCTACCCTGACACGTCGATTAGCGAATTTGCCGTTCTCGGTTCGCGAAAGAGCGTCGTGGCCGCCATTCTTGCGGGTCCAGGTCCGTCGGTTTCGGTCTTAGGCCGTTTTCACTAAAGGGAGGTTTACTCAAGGGAGATTTGTCCACCGCCGCAAGAAAGTTTGTTCTGTTTCGTCGCTAGGTTCATGCAATGCTCCCGTGCGAAGGCCTCGTCTCCAAGAGGGGATTTGAAGATGTCCAGGTTGCCGCTCAAGACGGGGACCCCACCCTCGGCGATGAACGCGGCAGAATCCCCTTTTTTGCTCTCCCCCGGCGGCGCGTCCACCTGGAGGTGCGAGAATCTGAGGCCCGCCTGCGGCATCACCAACTTTATAGTTATGCTGGAAGCGCTCGCAACACACTATCAGAAGAGCTGGCGATCACTCCATCATTCGAAAGAGCGGGAGGGTCAGCGGATAGAGAGAGAGAGGGAGAACAAACAAAATAGAGCGAGAGAGAGAGAGGAGGAGGAGGAGGAGGAGGAGGAGGAGGAGGAGGAGGACGAGGACGAGGAGGAGGCGGCGGCGGCGGCGGCGGCGGCGGGGGCGGCGGCGGCGGCGGCGGCGGCGGCGGCGGCGGCGGTGGTGGCGGCGGCGGAGGAGGAGGAGGAGGAGGAGGAGGGAGGAGGAGGAGGAGGAGGAGGGCATGAGGGAGGAGGAGGAGAAGGAGGAGGAGGAGATTGCCTCTTGGCGGCCTCTTGGAGCCTCCTTTGACCTCTTTGCAGCCTGTTGAGGCCATTTGGGACGTCTGGGCCATGCGCGTTGTCTTGGGCCCTTATTCGGCCATGTTGGCCTTTCTGGATATTGTAGCATGTAGGATCGTGTTGGATGCCGAACAGCGCCACCCTTCCCATCTCGCAGGCCATCTTGGCCGTCTCGTGGACGCCACCTTGGCTTGACCGTCTTGGATCTTGGGTCAACTGAGCAGTCAAGGAGGCCATCTTGGACCGTCTGGGAGCCCCTCTGGAGATCTTTTGGGTCATCTTTCGGACGTATTGGAGGCATAGTGGACCGGCTGAGACGATCGACAGCCCAAAAAATGCGAGAATGCTACAACCAGTGAAACACTATATGAACTCCGAATGGTTTGGGCATCTTGGGAGACTCTTGTTGGAGTTATTTGGAGCGGCTCAGGGGCATCATAGAAATATCGAAGGCCATGTTGCACACATCATGTGCTGTCTTGGAACAATAGTAGGGCCATCTTGGGCTCACTTGGAAGCACCTTAGATGTTTGGGCGGCGTCTTGAGACCGTCATTGACGCCATCCTGGGCCATCTTAGTTGTCTTGGGGGCCATCTTGGACCGTCTTGGGGTCGCCATGGTGCCTTCTTGTAGGCCTCTCCGGCCGATGTGGGACCATATCTGAGGTATGTTGAGCCGTCGGTGGTTGTTGGAAGATCGAACTGGCGAGAACGCTGAAGTCATTGAACACACATTGAACATCAATGAGTTTAGCCTCCTGGTGGCCTTCTGGAGGCCCTGATTGGAGCAAATACTTGGAGAGTCTCATGAAGCTTTGTGGCCATCTTGACGCCATCTTGGGCCGTTTGAGGTCTACCTCGGCCTGTCTTGGGGGGCATCTTAGCCATTTGGGAGGCGTCTTGTGACCGTCTTCGAGGCCATCTAGGGCCATTTTCGCTTGGAGACCATCTTGGACCGTCTTGGGCTCCTCTTGGATATTCGTGGGAAGTTTCGGGGGCCTATTGAGTGGGCTGTCTTTGGACCATCTTGGCGGCCTCTTGGGACGTATTGGGCAGTCGGAAACAGTAAACATAGAGAACGCCCACATCCATCACAAATCGTTGGAACATGAATAATTCTGACCTCTTCGGGCATCCTGGATAGCCTGTTGAAGCTCGCTTGGGCCGTCGTAGGGGCATACTGGATCGTCGCGAGGCCGTCTCAGGGCGTCGTGAGGCCATCCGGGGCCGTTTTGGAGACGTCTTGGGCGAACTTGGAGGCCTATCGGACCCTCTTGGACCGCCTTTGTTGCGTTCTCGGAATGTCTTGGGCCAACGTAACGGTCACCTGGTAGTCTTGGAGGCCATTTTGGGACCATCTCGGGTGGGAAGACGGGCGAGTGGTATTTTTTCCGTACGGCCAGCGGGATCGGCCGGAGGCCATTGAGAATTCTTATTTCATCTGGCCTCCACAGCAGTCGCAGGTTTGTTTAGCACGCCAAATACCCTTGCGATACCCACAGGGGGCGGTGGATCGAAGACGCCTACGGCGGACCGCCGCCGCCCCCTGCATTTTGGGAGTGCCTCTGTGACCGGCCGCTGCGGCCAGAGCTCGGCCAAGCTGTCGGACTGCGTGCTCCCCCAGCCGTTCTGGCAACGCCTTCGGGGAACACGCGGGGGAACGAAGAGGACGACAGGGAGGGAAAAGGAGGAGGGCGTTCCTGGCCAGTCTGACGCCGTCTGAAGCCGTCTCGGGCGCCTCTCTGGACTGACTTGAGACCTTCTTGTGGCGCTTCCGGGCCGTCTTGGAGGCCATCTTCGGTGTCTTGGAGGTCTCATGGGCCGTCTTGAGATCCTCTTGGGGCGGTTTTGGGGGCTTCTTGGGCCGTCAAGGGGGCCATCTTGGGCGCTCTGGTGGCCATCTTGGTGGCATCGGGGGTCGTCCTGGGCAGTCGGAAAGCGGAAAATGAGTAAACGTGAAAATTGTTCAAACAAGTGGAGCGTCAATGATTTTGGCCTCTTCGGGCCTACTTGGAGCTCCTCTTGGAGGTCTCTTGGGCCGTCTCTGAGGTCTGTTGACGCCATCTTAGGCTGTCTTGGGTGCATATTGGGCTGTCTTGGAGACATCTATATTGTGACTATCTTGGGCTCTCTTGTGGCCATCTTGGCCGTCTTGGAGGCCATCTTGGCCGTTTTGGATGCACGAGTGGGCCATCTTGGAGCCATCTGAAGCGGAAGCACCCTTTCCGATCAGGTCATACGCGGCTTTCCGCGCGGCCGGCGGTTTGGGCTGAGAGCCTGTTTGGGAATTTCGAAAACAGTCAAAGGTTACTTGACGTCTGGCATGCCGTGCACCCCTGTGGCAAGCCAACAGGGGGCGGCGGATCTTGTGGCCCTCGACCCCCCCCGCCACCGTGTCTGGGTTCCAGGTCAGCGTTCTCTTGGACGCCTGTGAAGATCTCTTGGGAGGCCTGGCGGAAGCCTCCTTGGAAGCGGCTTCGGGGGTGTTCAGGAGGAAAAGAAACACACAGACACAATTAATCGTCGATCCCCAGGAAAATATGGGAAACTATGGGATGTGGGGGGGAAGACAGAAACCCAGAAAATATAGGAACATATTGGAATTATTTTATTTGTGTGTATTCATTTGTGTGTCCCAGGGCCCCTTCAATGTCCTGGGGGCCTTTGGGCCTGGTGAGGGCTGCGTGGGGGCCCGCTGAGGCTTTTCGGGGGGGGGCTCGTGGCCGGCCGGCGGTCTCGGGGGTCATCCCTGGCGCGGCGGGAGCGAAACGTCGGCTCGGGTTCTCCCTCTGTCAGAGCGTGAATTACCTACCCCGCGTTCGCTTCCAGGCAAAACCAAGTCATACCACGCGCCTCCTCGTCAAGCGGCCTGACCAGTACAGGCCGTAGTTTGGCATCGCTTGGTATCTCTTGGAAGCGAGGGTGGTCAAAAGCGAGGTAGGTTTGTTTGCCCCCCACTCTGGGGGCCCTCTTGGGCCGTCCTGGGAGGGCATTCTTGGACCGCGTGGGGGGCCTCTGGGGCCGCGTCGGAGGGGCCTCTTGGGCAGTGGTGGAGCGTCGAAGGCCCGGAAAGACGAGAACGATAACAGCATAACAAAAAACAGGGAAATCAATCGTTCTGGCCTCTCGGGGCCTCCTTGGGCGGCCTCTGAAGAATCCCCTTGGGGCGTCCAGTGGGCCTCTTGGGCCGTCCGGAGACCATCTTGGGCGTCGTGGAGCGACCTGTGGGCGACTCGTGACCCTCTTGGACTGTCTCGGGGGGCCTCGTGGGGCTCACTTGGCCCATCCGGGGGCCCTCGTGCACACGGACGCGCCGCGCGGAGAACCCCCAAGAAAGCCCGGGGCGCGCCCAAGGGATCCAGAAAATTGGAGCCGTGGGCCCGTTGCAACACATTCCCAGTGTTCAACACAGAGAGCTCGAAGGGGCCCGAGGACACTCCAGGCTTCGTGCCTCGAGGCACGGTGGCGGATCCCTGGTCAGGGCTGCAGAAGTGTTCTCGCGTGCGTAGTTACTGTTACAGCCCTGGCATGTTGTCCCACCTGTCTTGATCTTTCACCATCACTTTTTCCAGCTCTCCTTTGATTCATATTCAGCCATTTGCCATGTGCCCTTCCTTCTTCATCCCTCGATCTCAATCGGGAGGCCGGCACGTGAACGGGCGTGGGCAAGGATTGCAAGCGCAGCGTTGCTCGAGTATCTCGGACGGGGCGGCAGGAGGGACGCATTATACGGGCTCGTTGTCGATGGAGTGTGCGCGAATCATGCCTTCAAGGTTCTTTTCAGCAGAGTTCCCCTTCCTTGCAAATGGATCGCTCATTGGGCACGTTTCGTGGGAACAGCGTGTAATGATGCATTGCGACGTCCATCAGCAGTCAGCCCTATTGCCCGCTTGTTCGTGAAGGAGCATGATCAAATGTCCCCAGTTGCCTTGGCTGACGCGATGGGGGCGAAGCTGCAGATCGATCACATCAACCAGTTCTTGCGAGCACTCAAGAAGAAGGCCGACCACCCGCGCACACCGGAGTGTTATATTCGCAGGGTGTTAAACGTGTAAGCGATGAGATGTTGTTCGTGTGTCTTCATAGGCCCATCCAGAAACTACTCTTAGGCAACGTGTCCTGAGAACGAGAGTGGAGGAGTGTTGGCGAAACAAAAGGAAACTACACCTGCTTATTCAAAGGTTGAATCGCCCCAAACAACTTCCGTTGATTCCAGCTGGGCCTTGTGAGGAGCATCTCGGCCATCTTGGGGCTCGTCAAGGGGGAATGGTTGGAGCCTGTGGGGCCCTCTGGAGGCTGTGCTGGAGGCTGTCGGCTAGGCAGGGGTCGTGGTCACTGGAAGCCGGCGTAGAGCCCGAAACTTACATCTTGAATCCCTCCTAGGGCTCTTTCGGGTTCTCCTCAGGGGCAGCGATAGGACGAGATAGGCTCAGAGGGGAACGCATCAACCTCCAAACGCTCGCTCATCGCCGATAGGCACCTGCTCCACGGTAGCCCATAGCCCCCAGGGACCTCCTGCTTCTCGATCAGAGCCATGTCGCGAGTTTGCAGTCCGAGTTCGCCGTTGTCCTCTGCTTCCTTGTCTTCAAGCCCGGCCCGAGCCCGGGGCTAGTGACAGTTTCCGCTTTCACAGTGCACAGCGTTCGGCTGCGACCGTTTGAACTGCCGTATTTTGGCGACGGTTGCTCACCGTCTTCCTCCCCTCTCCCTCTGTCGCCAGCGGCTTCTTGCTCCTGGGCCTCGCCCTGGGTTCAAGCGGCGTTGCTCGTGTGTGGCAGCCAGTTTGGCAAGCACGTGCACGTTGCGGTTTTCATCATCGTGTGCTCTGTCATGAGGAAAGATGTCGCCGATTGATCGTCGATGAGGAGCAGGAACGGGTGGAGGACGAGCATCGCCGTCGCAGGCATAATGGCGGTGGCAGGTCGGGGGAAGAGTGAGTTTGGAAAGGCCGTTCCAGGCAGGCGGTGGTTACGACAGTGACGCGGGGGGAAGGAGGGCGACGGCAGGAGTCAACCACGAAAGCCATCGTGGGCCTTCTGCTCGAAGAGCCTTCTGGAAGTCTCTTGGAAGCCTCTTGGGGCCATATTGGAACCCTCTCGCGGCAAATTGGTAAGCCTTCTGCGCTATATATGAGGTGATAAAGGAGGGCCTTCGATGGGGGCATGATTGGGATCTTTCGCCAGCTCAAGTCCAAAGAGAAGTATGTAAGAACGTCTCCTCTGCAGTTATAGATCGAGATCGCGTCCGCGGCCTGGGATCGTTTGTACGTTGACACGAATTGGTCTTTCAAGGCGTTCATGTTTTTATATCTACGTTGATGGTTGTTCAATGTGTTCCTACATGTCTCGTATACAGGGAACCTGGAGCACCCAGACAGCACTCAAGTGCCCCATCCGCTCCAGGAGCGTCCCTGGAGCCTCCCTTGGACTCCTCTGGTTCACCCAGGAGGCTCCCAGAGCTCCAAACCGGCATGCGGATTGGGCGTTGCGTACTAGGGGGGCGACAGTTTGGGGGGCAGCGAGGGCTGCAGAAAAGGAGCCGTTTAGGACCCAAAAGGCGTTGTTTAGGGCCCGAGAATTGCCCCTTTCTCTCCTTCCCATGTTATCGCCCCCCCATCCAGCGACGCCCAGCCGGACGGCCCCAGATGGCTTCTAGGTTGCTCCAGAAGGCCCAAGACGGCCTCAAGACAGCCCAATAGGCCCCCAAGACCTCTCCAAAAAGACTCCGAGAGGGCCCCAAGCGGCAAAAGTCGTCCCAATCATTGTGGGAAGCGTGTTTTTTCAGCATCTTCATGTTTATTTGGGTTATCACAGCGGCCAAGACGGCCCAGGAGGCCCCCAAGATCGCCCCATTTCGACCCAAGAGGCCCCCAGGAAAGCCCCAAGACAACAAAAAGAAAGCATCAAGGCGGGCCAGGCGGCTCCCAGGATTGCCCAAGAACGCCCCCAAGCGGGCTCCGAGAGGGGCCCAAGAGGGGGAACTCGAACTAACTGTTCGAGCTCCCAGACGGCCCCCAAAAGACCACAAGATGCCCCCAGGACGCCCAACATAGGCCCCCAAAGGGCCCCGACGAGACACCAAGCGGCTTCAAAATTGCCTCCAAGAGGCTCCCCAGATGCTCCCCAATAGACCCCACCACGCATCCAAGAGGCCTCTGACCCTCTACCCAGGCGCATTGGCAGGCCGTCTTGGGCGTCTTGGAGGCCTCTGGGGCCGTCTTGGGGCCCTCTTGGGGCTGTCTTGGGGGCCTCTTGGGCCGTTCTGGGGCCATCTTGGTGGCCCATTGGGCGATCTTGGGGCGATATGTGGGGGCTCGTGGGCCTCTTCGGGCCGTCGGAAGGCCGAAAGAAGCAAATGCCCCAATCCGACCCCTTTGAAACCTAAGGGCGGATTCCAAGAGGCGGCGGGAGAGCGTCCTCGGCATCCGTCCTCTTCCCCCTTGTTGTTTCCTCGCCGTGCCTTCCTTTGCCCCTCCGCGCGTGGATATCACTGTCATGAGCCCCCCTCTCGTATTAGTACTGAGATGCCCCGCTGATTTCGCGACGCCCTTCACATCCTTAGGTGGAGAACTCCGATTGCATACTTACCCTCTCGCCGTTTCGTCACCGAAGGGCTCTGCAGTCCTCAAGAAAGTTCCGAGAGGGTCCCAATAGAGCCCAAAGACGGGCTCGGGAGGGCCCCAAGAGGGCCCCGGAGGCTGCAGGGGAGCCCCAGGAGAGGCCCACGAGGGCCCCGAGAGGCCCCCAATCGGCGCAAATCTCGGACATGCCAGATCTCGAGATCCCCTGGGGCCCCGGGAGGCCCCAGGCCCCTCCAGGTTTCGAGCGTGCCAGCAGCGCAAAAAAAGCGCCCTTGGCGCCAACACGGCCCGAAGGGGCCCCCGAGAAGCCCCCCGAGGAGGCCCCGAGGAGGCCTCGCCAGCGGGGCGGGCGGGGAGAAGTTCTCCGCCGTGGACCTCCCCGCGCAAGGCCGGGCGGGCCCCCTCCAGACGGCCCAGGGCCGCCCCGGAGCCGCGCGTGACCCGCCCGCGCTCCACGACGGCCCGGCACCAAGCAGTGGCGAGGCGCCCTGGCTCGCCTACAGGCCCACCAAAAAATTGTTCTAAGAATCTTGTATGGCCTGTTCTTACAGTTGGGGCGTGCATCAAGAAGCCATATGCCTTTAGTCAGGGTATCCTGGGTTTCTTCGCTCCTCGCGCTGCGCGGTGACTTCCGCAGCTGTTGAAGGAGCTGCTGCGTTCAGTGTGCTCCAGGTTCCCCCTCAGGTGCACCTCGCGCACAGGTTCTCAGGGTTGGGTTTCTTGCGAGGTTTTCTTGCGTCCGCGCCCGCATTGTAGAACATTGTTGGCTGAGTCTGTCTTGTTTTAACACATCGTGTTTATGTTCTAAGCACATTGTGTTTGGTATTAGAACATTTTTGAAGTTCTAAGACAATTTCGTGGTAGGCTTATAGGCTTATAGGAATGTCGGGACTGTCGGTCCCTGCTCAAAAGACAAGACCGAACAAGACGAGCCCAGGCAAAACGAGGCGAGGCCCGACAAGACACGCCAAGAGACGGCCTCCAGGTCCCCCGAGATGGCCCCATGGATGCCCCAAGAGGGCCCCCGAGAGGCGCAACAAATCCTTCGAGCGTTTAGCAGATGAATGGCGGTTGCACGCTCGCCTTTCCGCCCCAGGAGGGCTCTGGAGGCTTCAAGACGGGTCCAAGAGGGCCCCAGAGGGGCTCGAGGCGGTCCCAGAGGCCCCCAAGATGGCCCCAATAGGCATCCCAGATGCCCTCCGCAGCCCGTTTGGTTTCAAGAGATTCCTGGCTGAAGGCATTGCGCGTCCACGCTTCCGGGGACGTGGGTCGTCCATCTTCTGTCGTCTTCCCCGCGATTCGGGGTGGACAGACCTCCTACCCTGACACGTCGATGAGCGAATTGGCCGTTGTCGGTTCGCGAGAGGGCGTCGCGGCCGTCATTTTTGCGGGTCCAGGTCCGTCGGTTTCGGTCCCAGGCCGTTTTCAGTAAAGGGAGGTTTGCTGAAGGGAGGTTTGTCCACCGCCGATCTTCGAGCATGGCGGGCAAGGGCGGCAAGGGTCAGGACGTCGGCGGGCCAAGCAAGGGCCAGGGCCACGGCAAGACTGGGAAGGGCAAGACCAGGGGCGAGGGCAAGGGCAAGGACAAAGGCGCGACAAAGGGATCGGGCAAGGACAGGAGCTATTCCGAGTATTGGGACGATGGGTCTTATGACGCTTACGGCAATACTGGAAAAGGCAAGACCAGGGGCGACGGCAAAGGCAAGGACAAAGGCGCGACAAAAGGATCGGGCAAGGACAGGGGCTATTCCGAGTATTGGGACGATTGGTCTTACGACTCATACAGCAACACTGGGAAAGGCAAGACCAGGGGCGACGGCAAAGGCAAGGCCAAAGGCGCGACAAAGGGATCGGGCAACAACAGGAGCTATTCCGAGTATTGGGACGATTGGTCTCACGACTCATACAGCAAGACTGGGAAAGGCAAGACCAGGGGCGACAGCAAAGGCAAGGCCAAAGGCGCGACAAAGACAGGAGGTGAAGGCAAGGGCAAGGCTGGAAGAGGCAAGGCCAGAGGTGAAGGCAAGGGCAAGGGCAAAGGTAAGGGCAGGCAGTGGAGGCCCGATCCCCCGGTTGATGAGCCTGGGGAGTGGGTGCCGACTTCTGAGTTTAACCACTCGAAGAGTTTCGCGTTCTTCTGGTGCTGGTGCGGCAAGTCGTGGGTGTCTGCGCACGGCTACAAGAAGTATGGGCAGGGGTGTCAGAATTGCGAGGTGGAGAGCCTCCCACATTTCATGTGGTGGAACGAGCCGCGCGTCGGCTTCGATCTTGACGAGGAACGCCCGGCTCGCCGGATTGACGGGGAGCACGACGAGATGAGGTGCGCTGCCTGTCGCGCTGGCGTATGCGATGCCATGAGGAGGAGCCACTGAAGTCTCAATGCGATTATTCATGCAATCCGCGCCGGCTTCGGTGGAGACATGCTCGGGAGCAGCGCCGAGCCCAGGCCCGCCCTCGATGCGCGCCGCGCACGCGGTAAGAGAAGAAAGAGTAGAAGAGGCCCCTTACGATTCGGCGTCGAGCCCGGGGAGTGGAAGCGAGAAGGGGCGGGCCTTCTCAGAAGGCGCGGAAGTCCCCCAGCCTCTGCGAAGGTCTCCGAGCTTGGCCCGAAGACGTCGAGAAACCCCCGGAAAGCGCGAGGGTTTCTGAGAAGTCCCGCCGCCTTCTGAGAAGGCCTTCTCCTCCCCCCTGTCCCTCCCCAGGCTCGCGGCCGACAGTTCTGCGCGAACGAAATGGGCACGGAAAGAATGGGCACAATGCCCAGCAGCGGATTTGGTTCATTTTGAACAGGACTCGTTGTCCACGCCGCCGCGGCCTGTGCCCATTCGAGACAGAAGGCCGCCTGCCCAACAGCGGCCGCTGTTGGTTTGGGACAACACGAGTTGCTGGGCATTGCGCCTATTTTTCCGCACCCGGTTCGGGCGTCCAAAACAGATGCCCCGCAGCGGCGCCCGAGGCGCCCCCGGGGAGAGCCCCGCGGCGGCCCGCGCCCGCGCCCCCCTGGGGGGCGTGCGGCCGGCGCCCCCCCCTGCCACAGGGGAGCGGGCGCCCGCGCTGCCCCCTGGCCCGCGCGTTCGCGATGCGAGTGGTCCCACCTGTTCGACAGCTCACACTCGATGGCATGGACCACCTGACCCCGAGCCCTCTGAAGCCCGGTTTCGTCTTGTGCAGCTTCCACACAACGGAGGGCCACCTGCCATTCAACGTAACGAGGGAACCGCGCACATCCCATTGGAGCTTTGGACCGCCAGCCGCGGGGCTCACAAGGAACACGCACCCAAGCTTCAACGTTTTGCACTAGGACAAAAAAACGAACAGGAAGGCGAGGGTACGTGGCCGCATCCTGGTCTACATACGGCTGCGAAATCCGCGTGGTCAGATTGCCACGTGATTCCATAGTCGATGGTCGTTCCCGCACCTTGCACGCAAGTGATGTGTCGAGGCACCATGTGCAGCCCCTGGAAGCCCTGCGACCAACCTGCTATAAGTACCGATGAGTCCATGTTGAAATCACCAAGACAAGTCCAGTCCAAGCGCAAATCATCGAGCACCATAAGAGAATGCTGCAGATGCGCCTGGACGTAGGCAGTGTCCTCATCCAGCCCAACCGAGTCATGGAAATACGCCGTGACAACCACCAGGCCATTCTTGATACCACAGTGAACGTGTGCAGCACCCAACCTGCTTGGCGCCACATCTGCCTCAAAGAAAGGAACTGCCGTGACTGAAATACGCGACATCGCAATCACACACATACACACACCTCCTCAAGTGCCACCAGCTTCCGTAGGAACAGCCTCCTGCCAGATGCCATGGTAGCCCAGATTATTGACCTGGTTCTGTAACGTGGCAAGCCTTGGCCCAACAGCATGATGTTCCCGGACCGCGATGATGTTGCTGGGTGGTCCAGCAGCCAACTACTCTACGAGGGGGCCACCGCTAGATACATTGACCGTGGTAATCATGCCCTTGATGCCGACCCCCTCGCCACCTTCACGCAAACTGCGTGAGCGTCCTGACTTTGTTCTTCTCTGAGCTGCATCGAGAGCCAGTATGGAGGAGAGTGCCGCAGGCGATGCCGCCTGCGGCGAAAAGGGAGATGCCGACGCCATTGCCGCCGACCCATGAGACACCTCCAGAGCACACGTCATCATACTCACCAAAACCAAAACTCGAGACAACATACTGCACCAGCACTTGCCATCAATACGGCGACCAATGTTTGACTGCGTGCACTTTCGTGGCCATGGAGCGAAGGTCGTCCTCGTCCTTCGGCAGCTCCCCGAAGAAGTCGAGCTTCTCCAGGCTAGTGCGCAGCACGCCAACGTCGCAGTTGTCGAAATCGGGGGAGGTAGGCTCGTGCACAATCGCAATATCATCCGCCCGAGGCCGTTTGGCCGCTGGCGCCTCGTCCTGAGAGGCCTCGTCCCGCCCCCGAGTCGGTAGTAGCAACTGCTCCACCAGCGGGTTTGACTTGACGGTAGCCACGAGCTCCCCAGGACGCCAGCCGCCTACAGGGTCTTGTCCAGCACGTCCATATTGAATTGCCCATCTGAGTCGCGCTCAGAATCAGGATCTGGAGGCTTAGCCACCCCATTACAACGAGCCCGCAACTGGCCCTCGAAGTCGGCAATGGGGCAGCGCTGTGCCTCCACCTTCTCCCCGTGCAGCTTGACTTCTTCCTGCAACTTCTCCAGCTCCACCTTCTTAGCTTGGCTGGCCTAGGTGAGATTCTCCAACTTGGAATTCCCAATCTGCAACTTCGTGGAGAGCTGTCTGATCTTGATGCTGACGGGTTGCTTGGACCGCCGCAGTGCCGTGCATTCAGCCTTCGCTTTAGCGTGTTGCTCCGCAATGGCCTCCATCCCGACGACCCCCACACACGCCGCATGCATCCTCTCGTACGCTTCGATTAGTGCCAGCAGCGCCTTATCATCATCATCCTCCACTGGCTTCGTGGTGCCCAGCTCCACGTCAGGCTGCGCGCCAGCTGCCGTCGTGCGGGATCGCTGCCGTCGAAGCTCTGCGACCTCAGCCTCCAACTCGGCGAGGTACCCGGACTGGCTCCCCTATCGCTGGTCCTCCCCACCTGGCGCGGCGGAGCCACGGAACACGGACCGACGGGGACGCGGGCTCGACAGCACGGAGAGAGCAGGAGCCCTTGTGCATGCCCCCACACCCGTCCTTGGCCCTCCCAGAGCAGTGCACACGCCAGCCAGCATTGACCCGCAGCTTACCAGAGCGCTGCACACAATACAGTCCAGGCCCTGAAGAAGGAACCCTTTTCGTTGGGGAGGGGCTCCGCGTTCCTTAAGTGTTTCACAGCTTGCCTCAGGCTTTCCTAATGCTTCCGACCGGAAATCCAAGGTTAACTTATGGAGAAAAGGGGCCTCGTTCCTTATTTAGGGTTCCTTAGGTCAACGCCCCGACTGTAGCGACACTGCCAATCTTGCTTCTCGGCATCGCGCCCTGTCATGTGACACTGGGTCCTTGCCCTGGGACCGTGGTGTGAAGACAGCAGGCGGCAGCGCGCAGCTCCCCGCCTGCAAAACGGTGGTGGCCTCCATGTGAGGCCGAAAGCGTAGGAGCCTTGAGCCGCTCCCTTGGCTGCCATCAAGCTCCCAGCGTGGGAGCAACGTTGGGAACTTGAGCCAACATGGCTACGGAGGAGAGGGGTGGGGGGAGGGGGGGCGGGGGCATCGGAAGCACCCTCCCCTCGGAAGCCCTCCCCCCGTCTTTTTGACCTCCTCGTCCTCCATCGCCACCTCTTGTTTCAATGCCGGATTATCTTCCGATCTGCCTATCGAGTGGCAGCCACTCTAGTGGACCGTCCAGTTTTCCTGCCGCAACGCCGTTCGGGAGCGTTGTCCTCTATGCTCTGACGCGTACGGACTGGAGGATTCATGGAAGGCGCTTGACTGCGATGCGTTGCGGTGTTTCTAGACGCGGGTTTTCTGTGCAGATGCGTTTCCAAGAGGCAGCTTCTTTTTGTACGGAGCCCAACCACCCCTCCCACCACCCCGTTGCGCGCGGGAAGACGTATGCTCACACGAATCCGCGCTGGCTTCGAAGATTCGCATTGCGCGAAGGTTCGTACCCCGAGGTTGGTCTCGCAGATCCGGGACCGTATTCATATACGTGGTTGGGCGCATACGTCTTCTGTGGGCTCCCTACCAGTGTCTGCGGCGCGCCCGTAGGGGGGACGTGAGGAGGGGGCGGGCCTTCCCACAGGGCTCGAAAGGCATCTGGCCTTCCGGTAATTTTTCTCTGAGCTTTCCCGAGGGGGCAGAACACTTCGAAGGAGGCGCGAGGGCTTCTGAGAAGCCCCACCGCCTTTGGGAAGGCCGGCCTTCTCCTTCTCACTTCCCCCTCTGGGCACGCCGCCATAGAAGGGAGTGGTGACCAAGGGGGGGGGGATGTGGCCGGGGGCATAACATCTCCCCAGATGTTACTCGTCCCAAGCACTGTCGATGATGCCACTTTGACGTCAGGCCACCTCACTTCCGTCGCCCCCTCGCCTGGCCCAGGTTGCGATAGTCGAGCCTCGAAACATTTGGACGTCTCCCTCCCACCCTTTCCATACCCTGCCTTCCTCACTTCATTTGTTCGCTGCCTCCGCTGGTTCCCGCTTCCCGCCTCATTCGCCTCTTCCTCCCCCACACCCCCGACCGACCTTGCGCCGCCCTTCCTTGCCCCTGCCGACCTTGGGCCTCTCAGGTGATCGAGCGCGCTCAGGGCGACGGCATCCGAGTGCAGCCGACGTCGCAGCTGCAGAAGGCGAAGGCGCTCCCCATTCTTGCCCTGGCGTACCCCTTCCCTCCTCCGCGCTGGAGGAGGAGGAGCACGTAGGCAGGAGGCTTTCGAAAGCAAGTAGCAGACTCTCGAAAGCAAGCAGCTGTAGGACAGCAGGAGAAGCAAGCAGGCGGGAGGCTTTGGAAATGTCTCCGCAATGCTCGGACGTTCCTCGGATGTGCCCGAGAGGCTCCCTGGATTTGCAGAGACGCTTGTGGAGGATCAGGAGGAGGAGGAGGAGGAGAATTCGGGAGAACTTGGCGACGACGATGTCGAGTTTCGCCAGAACGACGGCGGCCGCCTCGGGGGCCCAGAAGCGCTTTAGGGGCCCCCAGCGCGGCAAAAAGGTCCATGAGTCCCCAGGAGATTTCGAAAGCTTGGAGGCCTCGGGCTCTAGTGCGGCAGAACTTTGCCTTTAGACAGGCATGAAATTACATACTTCCCATTATTTGTGGGACGGGCACAAGTGTCGAAAAGCCCCTTGATACTCCCCCTGTCCGACGCGGTGGCTCGACGGCCACAAATCGTGCACCACCATGTGGAACAGTTCTCTGCATATCCCATTGTGTGCGTATGATGCACTGCTCTATTACCTATTTGGATCCTGTGTTGTTGGCACCCGACCCCTCGGACCGGTTGAGCCCCAGGGGTCGTGGTCTTACAAATACGTAACCAACGTATTATGGTCAGGGACCCCGAATGCGTGCTGATTTCCCTGTTACAAGTGAGCGCTCTGCTCGGTCAGGAGCTTACGAGTGGCTGTGACGTTGTGACCTTCTCATCGGCCTGCTCGTACTTCTCCTTGGTCCTCTCCAAGCGCGCAGCTGCGTTCCTCGACTGCCGTGCGCGGGACTGGGCGGGCTCCTCCACCTGCGGCGCCAAGCCGTCGGCGACCGCCTTCGGCTGCGACGCGGGGCCGCTGGTGATGCCCATGCCCGCCACGGGCTCGGCGATACCACTGAGGGCGTCGGCCATCTCCTGCTGCTGGTTGTCGCGGCCCTTGGAGCTGTAGTCGCCCATGTAGCCGGCGGGGCTCCGCTTGGGCTGCTTGACTTTGCAGCTGCAGGAGCAGGTCCAGTTCCACGAACTCCCGTCGTCGTAGTGCCATGCACCGCAGGCTCTACATGATGTCGAAGAGCTGCCGCCCTTGCCGCTGGAGTCTGTGCCCTTGCCTCTGCCTTGGCCACCGCGGCAGCCACCTCGCTCCATGGTGTCGAACTGGTCGAAGGTTTGGTGGCCCCCGTGCTGCTGCGCGCTGTGGTGCTGCTGGAACCTGCGCGCGGCGTCCAGCATGTGCACCAGCACGCGGGCGGAGGACCTGCGCTGGCGCTGTCGCCGATGCCAGGCTGGCTCCTGCGGCGTCGCGCCGACCACGCGGGCGCTGGCCGCGGCGCTGCGGCGGCGGCGTCGCCAGGAGCTGCCCGCGGGCGCCAATCGGGCCCAGGGGGGGAGGCTGGCAAGGCGAGGGGTGCCTCACCCCCCAGGGGCGCCGAGCGGCTCGCGTGAGACCGAACTCCTAAGGAGGAGGAGGAGGAGGAGGAGGAGGAGGAGGAGGAGGAGGAGGAGGAAGAGAAGGAGTCCTGCTGGGACTCGGCCGTGCCTCGCTGGCTGCGGAGCGTGGCACCGCCTACACACGATCCGTCCAGGATCGCGCCCAAGAGCGACGAGAACTTGTGGGGGAGGGGGGGGCCAAGGTCCGCAGGGTCTGCGGGTTGCCGCCGAGCGCACAACCCTAGCTGGGCTCACTCCTCTGCACTGCCCAGCCCGAGGGTCTCAGGGTGCCCCTCAGACTCATCGTGGGGCGCGTTTCACCGAGCGCGTTCCACTACTCGCAAAGTGCATACTCGCAAACGTCCGAGAAACAAATGTGCTCGCTGCTGCACGCTCGTGGCCGCGCGAATCGCTCCCGTGCCAGTGCTAACGGATATCCGGTCGTGGGGCTCGTGGGCTCACCTCGGCTGGCGTTCGTAAAAAGACGGGCCCTTACAGACATCTCTTTGCTTCGACAGAAAGTACCGTGGATCTCCCGCGGCGGATCCAGGCCATTTGCGAGCAGTTTCTCTGCGAGTGGTGGAACGCGCTCGTCTGACGCAGGCAGACACCATCGCCAGCCCGCGGGACACCCAAACTGTGGCAGCGCCTCGGTTCGCGAGGTGCAGCCAGTAGAATACTTACGCAGGTGGAACATCCAGGCGCACGCGCATTGACGGTGGCATCTCCAGGGGGACCTGCATGCCTTGATGATCTTCGTTGTGTCCGTGGCTCTTGGGAACACAAGTTGTGAAAACCATGCCGATCTCCCCAGCAGCCGCGCCCCCCCCCTCCCCCGTAAGCATTTCTATCAAAACTCGAGCGTTGTCGCTCCAGCGCCTTCTTTGACCTGGCGAGGACCTTCAGCACTGCATTCGAGCGCAAGGGTTCCAGCAGCCCTGGGCGTGCACCCCAGCACTGCAGCACTGCATGTCTGCCGAGCGCGAGCCTTCAGCAGTTTGAAGAGAAACCAAGGGTGCGCCGTCGCCGTCGCCGCTCTTGCCGTCGCCGCCGTCATGTCGCCGTCGTCGCCGTCGCCACCACCACTGCCACCGTCGCCATCGTCGTCGTCGTCGTCGTCGTCGTCGTCGTCGTCACCGCTGGCTTTATCGTCGGCGCCTTCGTTGGCGCCGTCGTCGTCGCCGACTTAGTCGCCGTCGTCGCCGTGGCCGTGTCCGTCGTTGTCGTCGCTGGCGTCGTCGTCGTCGCCGCCGCCCTCGCCATCGTTGTCGGCGTGGTCTGGCCAAACATCCACTGGCAGATCATTCCTCTGAGTGGAGTCTGCCCCCCCCCCCCCCCCGCATTGCGGAACAACCACACGTGTGCGAGACGATGGTGTCTTCGCGAGGCAGGACGTGTGCATCGTCTTCGTGCTTGCGGAACGGACACCACGCAAATTCTGTCCCTGTCCCTTTTTGTCCCCCTCTCTGCGTTAGAGCCCCCCGCGCTTGCCCAGCACCCCCCGCCCGCCCCTGGCCCCCTCAGCCTCCACCGCGCACCCTGTCCCTCTCTGCCCTCTCTGACCCCCCCTCTCTCTAAGACTCTCAGCATGCTCAAGAACTCAGGACGGAGGTCATTCGCCACTTTCGGCGCTTGGCGGTCACTATCGGGCCCTGGGGCCGTCGAAGTACGACCTGGGATGAAGGCGCGGTCCCCTCCCTGGAGAAGGCCGACAGTTCCGAGGACTCCGTATGGAGGAGAGCACGACATCGGATATCCGGGCCCCTGGCATTCTCCGCCCGTGCCACCCCTCTCCGGATGGACAGGCGGCCCCTCAGGAGGGACCTCCGCGGAAGTCAGAGGAGGTGTGAGTCCTTTTGCAGACGGCGTCGGCGAGGTCCTCCCCGCCGAGTGCCGTATCGAGGCCGTTCTGCGCAACTTCGGGCAATAGAGTGAGAGAGGAGTAAACAACAATGAGCTGGAGACGGAGGTGGTAGACGGAGGCGGATGTCGAGGCGGAGAGGAGGCGACGGAGCGCAAAGCGGAGGGAGAGGATCAGAGAGGGTGGAGGAAGAAGAGAGGATGGTGAGGTGAGGGGAAGGGGGAGGCTGCCGTGTGTGTCGGAGCGTCGAAAGTAAGGCGCATGTTCGGGCTCGAGGTTGGCTCTGTACCGAGGTGGCTCGGTGGTCCCTGCTCCTTCCTCGTCGGGGGCACTGGGAAGCCTCTGGCTGACCCCTCCTCGAACACTCGAGGGGTCAAACAGTGGGGAGGAAAAGGAAGGAAGAAGGATGAGCGAGGAGGACCGAGGAAGAGGAGGGAGGAGTAGGATGAGGAATCATAAACAAGAGCGAGGAGGAGCGAGCACGAGGAGGAGGAGGAGGAGGAGGAGGAGGTGGAGGAGCGGGGAACAATAAGGGCATTGGTAATGATGCGTGAGGAGGAAGCAACAGGAAGAACAGCAGGAGGGGTCTCAGGGGCGAGGAGGAAGAGGAGGGAGGAGCGAGGAGACGATTGCTGAGTCTTGTTGTCATCTAGGGCATCGTGGGCTCTGGCGAGCAGGTGCAGACCATGGGAACGGCGTGGGAAATTCTGCCATGGCGCGACCTCTCACGGCCAGACGCCTAGGGAGCCAGCGCTTGGGCGAAAGCCGCCGCCGACAAAACCATGGACGACCGAGGCCCACTGAGTATGCACCTCCTGCCGCCCCTGGAGCAAGGCCAGGGTGCTCAGCCAGGCGGGGGACCAGGGACCAGGCGGAGGACGAGCGAGGAGGAACCGAGGAGGAGGAGGAGGAGGAGGAGGAGGAGGAGGAGGAGGAGGAGGAGGAGGGGGAGGAGAGGGAGGAGAGGGAGGAGGAGGAGAGGGAGGAGGGGAGGAGAGGGAGGAGGAGGAGGAGGAGGAGGAGGAGGAGGAGGAGGAGGAGGTGGAGGAGGAGCTAGGCGGAGCTAGGCGGAGCTAGGCGGAGTGAGGAGCAGGAGGGCGGAGCGAGGATGGCCGAGGGAGGAGCGGGGCGAGGGCCTGAGCGAGGACCGGCGAGGAGGCCTCTGGGACGGAGCCTCGGCCGAGGGCCCGCCCCGGAGGCCAGGCAGCTACCGGGGGGCTGGGCCGCGACGGCCCCCCCCCCCCACGCCCCCGCCCCCCCGCCTCGGACGAGAGGCCGCCGCGACTGCGAGCAAGCCGGCGCCGCCGGCGCAGGCTGCTCGGGGGAAGCGTCGGGCGTCACGCCACGGGGGGGGGCAACCGACGGGGGGGGGGGGGGAGTGCACATTTCGTGCACCTTCGCGGTCCCGAAGGGTCACCCCTTGGGGCCCAGAGGGTGCACTGAGGGTGCACGTTTCTCGGCCCCCCCCCGTTCATCGCCCCTCCCCGTTCAGCAACGCCCAAGAGGGAGCGGCGGTCTCTTTGCTCGGGCGTCCCCAGAGGTGGCTTCCTCGGGCCCCCTCAGGGTGTCTTCTTCCCCCTCCTGCTCCTCATCATCCCTGGCTCCCTTCTCCCTGCCCCACTGCCTGCCCAAGTCGCTTCGCGACTGGTCTCACTCACGCCGCAATCCTTGCCCTACCTGGATGGCGCCAGGGGTCCCAGGATGGTTTGGACATCCAGGGTCTCTCTTTGGGTCATGAGCACTTCTGGCGATCCTCCGACCTCCCGCCCATCTCCTCTCCTCGACAGCAATTGGCGCGTTTTCAATATCCACACTTGCGCCGCGCATCCATACATTGGTTGCCTTTGCGAGGGCGCGTTGGAGTCGTTCGGCTCGCGCGCGGCACGATGATCTTCACGCGGGCCGGAACGTCGGTCACGCGATGGCCGGCCACTAGAGATGCCAGGCTCGTTCAGAAGAGGCTCTGTCGACGGGGCCAGGCCCTTTTGCTTCTGCAGGTCTTCCGCAGCGGCGCTAAGGTCTAAGGTAGTCGCGCCTCGCAGTCGGGGGCGGGCTGGCGCGAGGGCGCGAAGCTGGCCGCGCTTCCCTCAACGCGACGCGCGAGCCTGCAAAGAAGGGTTAGAGTCTCCCTTGCCCCCCTTCCCTCTCCTCCCTTCGCGTTCCCTCCTCCCTCAAGCAGGGGATCGACTGAATGACTACAGAAGTGATGTACCCCAACATTGCTTTTCCCCTCGAGCCCATGAGAAACATGCGTAGACTAGTCCGTCGATCTGCGGAGCATTGTGGACGTCTGTTCGTAGACTCGACTGAAAACCAGTGTTTGGAGGGTGACATCGATTTTGTGCAGGCGGTGCCCTGCTCGAGTCCTCCTCCTTCTGCCCCTCCTCCACAAGCTTCAGGAAGGAAAAAGCAGACAGACACAATGAATCGTCGATTCCCAGGAAGATGTGGGAAATATTGGGAAGTGGGGGGGAAGACAGAAACCCGGAAAGCACGTGCAAAGGTTGGGAATCCTTGGATTCGTCTCTTCTCAACTTGCGTGTCCCGGGGCCCCTTGAAAGAGCGCCCTCTCCGACGCCGGCGGCACAGGAAGAGGGGGAGGGCAGGGGAGAGGGGGGGCGACAGAGGCGCAGCCTCGCCGAGGGGGGCGTCGGAGGGTGGAGGGGTCGGGGGTGGACAGACCTCGTACCCCGACACGTCGATTAAGGAATTGGCCGTTTTCGGTTCGCGAGAGCCGTCATTTTTGGGGGCCCAGGCCGTTTCCACAAAGGGGAGGTTTACTAAAGGGAGGTTTGTCCACCGCCGAAGGGGGGGGGATATGAGCAGCGCGTCGGCGTGCATCGCAGCAGGCCCGCGCCTCCTCCGCGCGGTGCGAGGCGGTGGGGTCAAGTCGGGCGTGTCCCTCTACAGGGGGAACACTCAAAAACAGTCAAAAACTAGTCTGGGGACTACTTCTTGTTTCTTCTTTTACCATTCGGGGATATCTTATTCGTCCAGAATCTGCCTGTGGGGGGACAGGCCCGACCTAACGGTGGGGTCGGAGAGGGTCGCGGCGCATCGCCGACGCATCGGCGGTGCGAGTCTCGATGTAGAGCTCGATCTTCTCCATGCCGGCGGCTCCGGTGCACCGGCGATGGTGCGGCGCGCTCCGCGGGCCCCATCTGCTGAGAGATCCCATTCGGGAGGCCTGGCCAGGAAGGCAGGGCGCGAGAGCGAGCACAGCCAGGGCGCCGGAAGCAGAGGAGCACGGCTCGCTGTCAGGAGGGGCTCGCCATCCCCTTGGCCCTTCCAGGGATGCTCTTCTGGCGCTCCTCGTGCACCCAGACGTTTTTTTGGTGTACAGTGGGGTCGCGCATCAAGAAACCATATGCTTTTCGTCAGGGTATCCTGGGTTTCTTCGCTCCTCGCGCTGCGCGGTGACTTCCCGCAGCCGTTGAAGGAGCTGCTGCGTTCAGGATGCTCCGGGTTCCCCTCAGGTGTACCTCGCGCTCGGGTTCTCAGGAGTGGGTTTCTTACGAGGGTTTCTTGCGGCCGCGCCCGCACTGTAAGGTAGGGGCTGCGCTCCTGGTTCAACGTACCTCTGGCAGTAAGTAGCTTGATTGTACATGAGTGGGCGAAGAACGGTGTGAAGTAAGCTGTTCCTCCATTGGGGACGCCTGTCCCAGGGAAGTTGATACCCCTACATGGCAGGTGGGGGACGAACCCTTCGAGCCGCCTTGGGCCAGGCGTCCCCGATGGTGGAAAAGTCTGCGTTGAACCGTCATTCGCCCGCTACAAGTAGATGTGAAAAGAGACCACGACGACTACGACGGCGACGACCATAACGACGACTACGACGCTTACCATGACGACGACGACGACGACGACGACGACGACGACGACGAGGAGACGCCCCTCCCCCGAGATCCAACGTTGCAAAACACACGTCCTCGCCAAACATCACGACCAGAGCCCCAGACCCCATCTTCCTGCGGCATCTCCCGAGCCGGCTCCGTAACTGCGACGACGGCCCTTCGCGAGGCCCGAAGTCGGGCGATGCGACACAGTCGCCACGCCCAGCGCTCGGGTCAAGTCGGGCCTGTCCCTCTACAAGGGGGAAATTCAAAATAGTAAAACAAATAGTTCTGGGACGATGTTCTGACCATTATTCTCAAGATTTGGTGTGTGTTTTCGTTGGGGTGCTTAAAAAACAAATCGCCCAAACTCCGCCTGTGGGAGGACAGGCCCGACCTGACGCTCCGGGCCCCCCCCGGGATCTCAGGCCACGGCCCCCGGCGCCAGCGTGGTGGCGAAGAAGGCCTCGGCGACCGCGCCGGGCGCCTCCGTGGTGGTGAAGAAGGCGCCCTCCCCGCTCGGCGCGGGCGGGCGGCGCGGGCCCCCACCGATGGGAGGAGGGCCAGCCTGCGGGCACGCCGAGGCTGCGGCCCCTGGAGAGGGCCCCAGGTGATTGGCCTGTTGTCAACCACCACCACCACCACCACCACCAGAAGCTGGAGGGGGAGAGGAGGAGGAGGGAGGAGGAGGAGGAGGAGGAGGAGGAGGACGAAAGGAGGAGGAGGAGGAGGAGGAGGAAGAGGAGGAGGAGGACCCCCTCCCCCTCCAACTTTTGGTGGTGGTGGTGGTGGAAGACAGGCCCATCACCAGACCTCGGCAAGAGAGAGAAGAGGCCCTGTTGACGTGCTCGCGCCGCAGGGAGGTGTCACGACGAGAGGCGTCCGGCCGCATTCTTCGGCCTCCGGCGGCCCTCGCCCGAGAGGCCCTCGGGGCCGTGGGAAAAGAAGGCCCAAGCAATAAGCACACCGTCCTCCGCCTCTGCTTCCTCCTCCTCCTCCTCCTCCTCCTCCGTCTTCCCCTCCCAATCCTCCTCCCCCTCCTCCCCCTCCTCCCCCTCCTCCTCTTCCTCCTCCTCGGTATGACAACAGAGGTGGAGGGGCCGTGGAAAAAGAGGCCCCAAATGGCAGCACATTGAGGAGTGCGGAAGCGTCCTAGCTTGCCTAAGGGCCTACCAAACAATGTTCTAAGGACCTGCTGTGGTTTCCACGAGATGTTCTCAGAACATTCCTGGCTGGGACTGTCCTGTGTTAACACATCGGGTTTATGGTATAAGAACTTGGGTTTTGTTATTAGAACATTGTTGTGATCTAAGAAAATTTCGTGGTAGGCCTATAGGAATGCTGGGACGGTCGGTCCCTGCTCAAGCAAAGGTGGAGGGAAAGGTCGAGAAATGCAGGAGAAGCACGGCCAGGAAGCTTTGAGGAAGAGAAGTTTCTAGGCATCCCGAACGGGTTCGACGCCGATGGGACCAGAGGATCTTACCGCATCGCCAATGCATCGGCGATGCGACTAAATGTGGAGCCCAATCTTCTCCACGCCAGCGTCGTCGATACACCCACCGCCGACTTCGCCGATGCATCGGCGATGCATCGGCGATGCATCTGCTACGAGCGGAGGGCCACGTGTAGCGGCGGACTCCCTCCTCCTCCTCCTCCTCCTCCTCCTCCTCCTCCACCTCCTCCTCCTCTTCCTCTTCCTCCTCCTTTCTCCTCCTCATCTTCCTCCTCTTTCTCCTCCTGGAATCTGGTGGCGTGAGAAACCATCAACTCCCTTCCCCCCTCCACCCCCCCTCCTCCTCTTCCTCCTCGTATTCCTCCTCCTCCTCGTTATCCTTCTCATCCTCCTACTCCTCGTCCTCCTCCTCGTCGACGCGGCACGATCCTCCGACCCCATTTGCTCGGACCTCATCTGGATGGCCTCGTCAGATGCGGCCGTGGCAGAGGTGAGAGCACTGCCGTGTGCACTGGTGGCGTGTTGAAAGCTCACGCCGAATATGTGGCCAGGCCGAACCGGAGTCAGCCCAGGCAGACCCCAACAATGGCCAGCCTGGGGACCTCTGGGAGCCTCTCGGAGGCTCTCTCTTTCGGGCGTTGCTAGATGTGACCCTGGCCCAAGGTGCCCCCAGCTTTTCGCTCCATGTTGGAGCCCCTGGGCATCGTCAGGGGTTCTCTGGATGCCCGTCTGGGCCACCCAGAAAATCCTGGGGGCACCTTGGGCCAGGGGGCCCTTCTGGCAACACCCGATCTCTGGGGCGCATGGTGGGAAGTGGATGGGAGCTCTCTTTGTGGCCCAGTTGGGGGGTCTTCGGCGCCGGGGCCCTCCTGTGCCGGTCCGCGATTCGGAAAGGGCGGTGCTTGATCGTGGCCCCCCCGTCGGGGACCGTCAGTTCGAACCTTGGAGCTCTCTCGGGAGCCTCTGATTTGGAAGGCCCTTCTGGGCCCTTCAAATGGGGGAGGAGGAGGAGGAGGAGGAGGAGGAGGAGGAGGAGGAGGAGGAGGAGGAGGAGGAGGAGGAAGAGGAGGAGGGGGAGGGGCAGGAGGAGGGGCAGGAGCAGGAGCAGGAGCAGGAGCAGGAGCAGGAGCAGGAGCAGGGGAGCAGGAGGAGGAAGAGGAAGAGGAAGAGGAAGAGCAGCAGGAGGAGGAGGACGGAGGCCCATCAGAAGCGAAGAGGCGAGGGGCGGGGGGGCCCAGGACCCTCCCCGATCTTCCCCGAAGGGAGGGAGGAGGGGACGAGCTGATCCGCTAAACCACCAGCGCTCCTCATAGGGCTGGGGTAACTGGGCCGCAAGCGCGTCAAGGCCGATCCGACTCGGCACATCACCGGCGCTCCAGTCTGTCCGCGGCCGGGTCCTGGGTCGGTCCCTCGGGGATGGCGCCGGCGCCGGCGGAGAGGTCCAAGCGGCGGGGTGCAGCGGACAGGACCGGCACCGTGGTCTGTACACCGGGAATTTCTTCATCCCGAAGGGGAATGATCGGGGGCAGCGATAAGGGGGGATAGGCATAGGAGGGGATGCATCGGCCCCCAATCGCCCATAGATCGCCCATAGGGGCCCGATGGCCCCACCCCGCCCAGGAAGGTGCGGGTTCACGATCGGGGGCCCATCGCCTATCTATCGACGATGTATCGCCGATTCCAGGACGATGCCTCTATCGTTGCCCCTCAAATGAGCGACACAAACAGAAGTTGTCGGATGTCCGCGCGGATTTCCTGGATCGGCGTTCGACCCCCCTCCCTGGCTCGCGGAGCACGCCAGGGGCGGCGCCAGAGGCGCCGCCATCTTCGAGCATCCTCGATCGACCTCGACCCTCCTTCGACCAAGGTCGATCATCCGCGATCATCCTCGATCGGCCTCGATCATCCTCGATTGTCCCCGATCGTCCTCGATCATCCTTCGGTCAGCTGTTTAGGCCGGTTGTCCTGCCCCTCACTGCCCTCAGTACCCCTGTCGCAGCCAGCGCTGGCCCTCCATCGCACGCGAGCGAAGGCTGCTATCCAGGAGTGCCGCGCCCAGGGGCCGCGCGCCGGTGGGGTCGCGCGCGCCCCCCGCACTTGAGAGCGGCACGATCGAAGTGGGTTTGGAAATGAGCCGCACGAGGACCGGCAGCAGGTCCTGCCCAGGTTGATCCGGGTTCGCTGTCGGTGTCGCTGCGAACGTTGTCCATGCGAGACAGAAGGCCGCATGCCCAACAGCGGCCGCTGTCGGCTTGGGGGTTCTGGACACCATTGCTTGTTGGGCATCGCACCCATATGTTCCGCATCCGTTTCGGGCGTCCAAATGAGCGACGGAAGCAAACGGGGTCGATTGCGCCGACAATCGCGCGTAAGCTCCCCGCGTAGTGTCGCGCGAGAGCGCCCTCGTTTCCACTGCAGCGTGCCGCGCCGGCGGCCCGCGTAAGCTACCGCGTGAGGTCGCCATGCCATCTCTTGCAAGGCCCGCCCTTGATCGACGCTCGAATTCAGGAGGGGAAAAAGCACACAGACACAATTACTCGGCGATTCCAAGAAAATATGGGAAAATATGGGAAGTGGGGGGAAGACAGAAACCCAGAAGATATGGGAAAATATAGGAAGTGGGGGGGAAGACAGAAACCCAGAAAATATAAGAAAATATGGGGAATGTTTTTTTTTGTATGTATTTGTTTGTGTGTCCTGGGGCCCCTTCACAAATGAGCGCCGAGCGCGCGCGGTCCCCCGCGCCCGCGCGAGGGCCCAGGGCCGAGTGCGCGCGAGGCTCGCGCGCGCGCGCCTCTTGCGCGCGAGGGAGGCGCGCGCAGGAGGCGCGCCGTGGGGTTTCGCGGGGGGATCGAGCGAGGAGGCTCGCGCGCGAGGCTCGCCCGCGCGCGGCGTGGAGGCAATCAGATCCGACGCCGCTCCTCCGCCTCTTCCTCCTCCTCCTCCTGCTCCTCCTCCTCCTGCTCCTCCTCCTCCTGCTCCCCTCCTCCTCCTCCTCCTCCTCCTCCTCTCCTCCTCTCCCTCCTCCTCCTCCTCCTCCTCCTCCTCCTCCTCCTCCTCCTCCTCCTCCTCCTCCTCCTGGAACCTGGTGGCGTGAGAAGTCGTAGACTCCTCCCCCCCCCCCTTCCCCCCTCCTCCTCCTCCTCCGCCTCCTCCTCCTCCTCCTCCTCCTCCGCGCCCTCCTCCTCCTCCTCCCTCCTCCTCCTCCTCCTCCTCCTCCTCTCCTCCTCCTCCTCCTCCTCCTCCTCTCCTCCTCCTCCTCCTCCTCCTCCTCCTCCTCCTCCTCCTCCTGCCTCCTCCTCCTCCTCCTCCTCCTCCTCCTCCTCCTCCTCCTCCTCCTCCTCCTCCTCCTCCTCTCCTCCTCCTCCTCCTCCTCTTCCTCCTCCTCCTGGAACCTGGTGGCGTGAGAAGTCGTAGACTCCCGCCCCCCCCTTCCCCCTCCCTCCTCCTCCGCGCCCTCCCCTCCTCCTCCTCCTCCTCCTCCTCCTCCTCCTCCTCCTCCTCCTCCTCCTCCTCCTCCTCCCCCTCCTCCTCCCCTCCTCCTCCTCCTCCTCCTCCTCCTCCTCCTCCTCCTCCTCCTCCTCCTCCTCCTCCTCTCCTCCTCATCCTCCTCCTCCTCCCATCCCGACCAGAGAGCCCGCAGACCCCATCCTCCTGCGGTGTTTTTGTAACCGGGTCGGTCCGTGCGATGGGCCCGATGAGGCCCGGATCCGGGCGACATCTCGCCCGGTATGAAGCAACAGCTGCCACGCCCACATCTCCAGGGGAGCGGGGGCGGCCAAGAGGGGGGCGGGGACCAGGGCGGGGTGGGCGCCACGGCGGGGGCCACGAAGTCTCCCCAGCTCCCACGGCTCCTCTTCTCTCAAGACGTCTCCTGCCAGGCCCCCGCCCCCCCCACGTCCGCGCCCGTGCCTCGGGGCATGACCTCCAAATTCAGGAGGGAAAGAATCACTGAGACACAATGAGTCGTCGACACCCAGGAAAAGAGATGAGCAAAGGTTGGAAGGGGGGTTGCAAAACGAAAACCTTGAACACATGGAAAAATACTGAGGACATCTTGGGATCGGTGTGTATGTATGTGTGTCCCCTTGCCCTTACGATATGTTGATATAGTTGTATGCGGAAGTATAGATTCTATATCAGGACAATGTACACGTATACATCGATAAAACATGTCTTAAGTAAAACCTATCATTGTACTTTGCGAAGTCAAATGTAAGTTAACGTTGGGCAGCTTTTGGCCGCATTATAAGTGTTATCTTCGGCTGCCTACATCAGTGTTTGAACGTGTTCAAGCAGTGTTATGTTTCGTATGCGCATCGCCTCGGAAGTGGCGTTGTGCGTAGCACATGAATAAAACAACATAGGTCTTCACACATGCACTGCTGTGCGAGTATCGGTACACATGTAAAGCAAATGGAAGCCGCTTGGATATGTACATGTCTAGCTAACTGCAACGCGACTTGCATGAACATAGTTCAATATGGACGCATATACGCAGACGCAAGTGATTATATATGTTCTTGAACGGTTTGAGCTTGGGCTTTTTGAATTCGATGATGCCAGTACCTGCTAAACGATCCAAGGAAGTTTAAACATCGGGATGCCTTCTCTCACTTGTCCCCGCTCTCCCCTCCATAGCCTGTCTTCGGCTTCAGGACGGGAGCACGCCGCATGCTCACCTCTGGCGTGCCTGCGGCGCTGCCGGCCTTGTGCGTGGCGCTGATCGCTGGTCTTGGCTGGCGGACGAGTCCACCTCAGCCCGTGCCCGAGCCGCCGAGCGAGACTCCCTTGTGGCTCGACGGGGTCGCCGGCGCCTGCATCGAGGCTTCGTCGGCGGCGCTGCGCGACGAGGCCGCGGCCCGTGCGATCTCGGAGCTGGCGGCCGCGTCGCCACCGCCTCCGCCGCCGCCGGGGGGCGACGGCTGTGTCTGCCCCGAGGTGGGCGACGGGCTGGGCGCCGAGGCGCTGGCCCTGCACCTGCTGGTGAGCCTCCTCTCGCCTGTGTGGGTTTCGCTGGCGGACAGGTGCTTCAACTGCTGCCAGCGCCGCCAGTGGCCTAGGCACAATGTCGCGCCGGCGCGGGCGCCTGGCGGGCCTGCCCCCCTTGCCCGCGGGGGAGGAGTGGTGCGCTGATCTTCCCAGTGGCGCCCGCGCGCGGGTGAGCTACGACGGCGACATCATGGACCATGGGCGCGTCGTGGTTTGGCCTTCGCGGCGAGTCGAGGATGGCGAGCTGGTGGACCCGCGCCTCTACTGGGTCCTCTCGCCGGATGGCGACCTGTGGGAGGAGCTGCTCTCGGGGGCCTCGCCCGCAGATGGCCCCTCGGGTGGCGAGCGCATCGCCAACGGGGGGGCCCCGCCTGCTGACGGTCGGACGCTCTACAGCTTCCGCGAGCGGCCGTCCCTCGCCAGGCTCGTGGAATTGGCCGACGAGTGCCGTCTGGCGATGGAGGCCCGCGGGCAGGTTGCCGCCGACGGACCTGCCCAGGTGGAGCTCGCCTCAGGTAGACTGCTGGATGGCGGGGACGTCTTCCCGCGGGCCGCGCCGGCGCGGCCCTCGCACCGCCTCCGCGGGAAGCAGGCGCTGCCAGTTGCCGACGGGGGAGTGGGCGACGCTCTGGCTGATGCCGCCACGGGCTCTCCCACGCCCCCTCCTGAAGGGCACGTCTGGGCGCTGGCCGAGCCCGTGCCCGACCTGGGCATCGGCGCTGGGGTGGACGCCCTCTGGCTTCGACGGGGCAGGGCGCTGCGTCTGGAGCTGATGCCGCGAGGCGACGTGGCGGGCTGGAGGTCGCGCCGTGTTGCCGAGCTGAGTCGCTTGCTGGAGGTGGCAGCTCCTGTGGCGGCGCCCGGCTCCCCCCCGCCTGACGGTGCCCTGGAGACCGCCGCCGCCAGTGGCGCGGAGGGCTCTCCTGGCCCAGATGGTGTTCCGTCGGCTGTCGCTTTGGCTGACGCCGCTAGCGATGACACCCGCACTCTCTGGGTCGAGTGGGACGACCAGGGCGAGCGATACAAGGAGTTCAGGAAGGCCGTGAACGAGTCGTTGAGCTACGAATGGGGCCACCAGCGCTTGGAGGGGGGCCTGGCGTGCTTGCACACCTGCAAGATGATGCACCGCACGGCCGGCACCCCTCGGGCGTGGCTCGAGAAGTTCTTGCGCGACAAGAACATCGCCCCCACCGACCGCGTCGCACATGAGCTTCGGCCGCTGGTGGAGGCGCTCGAGGAGGCCGGGTGCTTCGACCAGGTCAACCTGGGGGGGCTTGCCTGCCTGGAGGTGATTGATCGCGCGCCGGCTCAACGCGATCGTTGACGCCTACAAGCGCGCGGGGGCCCCCTCGTTCGCCAACGCCAAGTACTTGGCTCCTCTGGGCGAGGCGGACGAGCTTATGGCGCCCTCGCTGAGGAATCACGTCTCCCGCCGCGCCAAGGAGGACTGGGAGGTCGAGCAGTCTATGAAGAAGGCCGAGGCGGTGGATGCTCGTGTGGCAGCCCACCATGGCGCAGATGGTGCCACCACAGGGGCCGGCGGCGGGGACAAGGGGCGAGGTCGCGGCGGTCGTGGTCGCGGAGGTCGCACCCCAGGGCTCCCCCCGCCGGTCCAGTCATGACCGAGAAGGCACAGCCGGGGGAGTGGGCCCCCCCTGGCTGGTACCACAACCTGGCCCGCGCCTCGCCGTTGCCGCCGTCCGATTTTGAGAGAGTCCTTTTTCCCGTGCCGATGATGATGGCGCGGGGCGACTCCGCTCGGGGGCGCAGGTCTCAGCGTAGGACCCACGCTCGGCAGCATGAGGTTGAATTGGTGAATCGCGCCCTCCGCAGCTTGAACTGGCTGGCGGGCTTCAAGGGCGCGGCCGCTTCACCGAGTCCAGGCGCGTCAACCCTGGACAAGCATGCAGCCCTTCAGCAGCACCTGCTCCGTGAAGCTCATCGGCGACAGGCCGCAGCTCCGGGGGCGATGCCCAAGGCGGAGGCAGCCCTGAGGGAGCTGCTCCGGGGGCAGTCCGTATACGAGACGGACTCTGCCCCAAGGAACCTCGTCTCCTACCAGCCCGGCAAGGTCTCGCTGCCTGATAGCGTGCTGGACTGCCGCTTCATCGAGGACATCGTGAGCCCTGGGTGCCGCTCTTTCTGGGAGGAGAATCACAAGCGAATGAGGTTGGAGCCGGAGACAGTGGACTTCGACAGCATGCCGCGGTTGTACATGGACCCAGTGCTGAAGAGGAATTCTAAATCTTATCGTACCTTCTTGCGAGATCTCGCTGGACGGGACTTCTAGGAGTGACCACCAGACCCGCCGAGTCGGTGGGCCTGTTTTTCGTGGCTAAGTCGAACGGGGCTCAGCGTATGATAATCGATGCTAGGCGAAGCAACGGCCACTTCAGAACGCCGCCAGGTGTGCAGCTCCTCAGCAGCGAGGGGTTCGGCCGGATCGAGATAGAGTTGCCGCTGGGTGTCTTGCCCTCGTCAGTTGAGGGGCAACGGCTTCTGGGCGCCTTCACTGTCTACGTGGCCACCACCGACGTAAAGGACTGCTTCTACCGAATGCACGTCCGCGAGGACTTCGGCCGCTACTTCTGCCTTCCCGCCGTCCCGAAGCACGTGCTCGACGGGATTCAGGTGGCCGGCGTCCCTGGGGATGCTCCGCCGGACGCCCTTGTGCGGCCCTACCTTGCCGTGCTCCCGATGGGGTTCGCGTGGTCGCTGTACCTGGCCCAGGCCGCGAATGAGGACAGGGTGTGCCGTAGCCCCAGCCTGTGCAGGGCGATGCCAGCCGGCCGACAACAGCCCTTGATTCAGGATCAGGCCGAGGCTTTTGTGCTGCGGGCCGCCTCGCGCGGGGTCGGAGGCGCTTGCGTGCACGTGGACAACCTTGGCGCCGATTCGGACAATGCCGACTTCAGTGACAGGATGGTCTCCGAGTGGAGCGATCTGTTCGAGTCGGTCGGCCTGGCGCTCCACAAGTCGGAGTCCCACGGCGGCGCTGGCGAGGCTCTCGGCGCGGAGCTCGACGGCGCTCGCCTCCGCTCGGGGATCACCTCGAGCCGGTTTTGGAAGCTCGAGCGGGGCCTGACTGGCCTCCTCGCTCGGGGCCGCTGCAGCGGCCAGGCGCTTGAACAAGTGATCGGACATTGCACCTTCTGCGGTCTGGCTGCCCGTGAGTCCCTTTCTATCTTCCATACCGTCTATAAGTTCATTTCGGTCCAGTATTTTGACGCGGGCTCAATGTGGCCCGAAGTGGTCGAGGAGCTCGTAGCTTTTAGAGGGGTCCTTTTGCTTCTGGGCCGCGACTGGTGGCTGCCGTGGAACCCCTGCGTTTTGGAAACCGACGCCAGCCTAGCGGGCTGGGCGATGGCCCAAAGTTTCTGGGAGCCGTCTCGGGTCGCCAGCGTCGGCCGTGTCAGTGAGCGCTCCCGTTTCAAGCGTGTCGGTGCTCACTCCGCTCGGGAATCCGCACTCACTTCTGCCCACCTCTTCCGTGACGAGTCAGGCGAGTGGAGAAGCCAACTTTTAGGGGGCGAGCCTCAGTTAGACGACTGGGGGGTCGTGGCGGATTTTCCCGAAGTCCCTCGGCAGCTCCTCCGAGGCTCGGCCTGGAAAACCGTCCGGAAGGGAGTCTGGGGCCGTAGCGAGGGCATTCTGGTGCTGGAGGCCCGGGCCTTGGTGAAGGCCATTCGTAGGCTCGCCAGGACCAGACACGGGTCCTGCATCAGACAGCTTTTCTTGTGTGACAACATGGCCGTCGTTCTTGCTTTCGCTCGCTCGAGGAGTCAGGACTTCAAGCTCCTAGTCCAGATTCGGCGCTTCAACGCCTATGCCCTTGCCCTTGGCATCGCCCCGTACTTTAGGTGGATTCCCTCAGAGTTTAACCAGAGCGATGCTGGGAGCCCCGATCACTCAGAAGTTTCGTCCAAGCTGCTAACCGATGTCCTGGATCAGCAGGTTAGGATCTCTGCTCCCCCTTCTCTCTCTCCCCTCCGTAGTCGTTTCGGCTCTAACTGTAGTCAGGCCCTCCTCGCTTCCGTCCCCGAAGAGTCTGTCCCGACGGATGCGCGCTCGGGCTCTGCGGCCGCCGCGGGCTCCATCGCGGGCGAGTCCTCCAGTGCCGTCGCGGGTTCTGCCGCGGCCCGGCGTCGGCCCGCCGCCCTGCCGGAAAGATCCACCGACAGTGAAGGCGAGGTCGAGAGTGCCGGTGAGGCCCCAGGTGGCGACGGAGACGCGCGGTCCCAGAGCCCGTCCCGTCGCGAGGACAGGGGGCCCTGGCGCCCGCTCGGTCAAGGCGCGCTTGGAGAGCCGCCCTCGCCAGCCGCCGTTGGCGCCCTCTGTGACGCTCGACGACCTCGCTCCCGCGGACGGCGCTGGCGACGACGAGGCGGACGCCGGGGAGGGAGACGAGTCGAGTGGGTCCGACAGCGTGGTGAACCATGCGACTGCGGCCTCGAGGAGATCTCGGCGCCTCCAGGACTCCCGGCGCCGGCGCCGCGCGGCCCTCTACACGGACATGATCATGCAGACCGCAGCCGGTGGGCCCACCTTGCTGGAGCGACTGGCGGTGATTCGCCGGACAAGGGAGCGCTATGCCAAATATATCGATCGTTTCTACTTGCATGCCGGCCTGACCGACGACGAGCTCGTGAGGAGCTCGGACGAGACCGTGGACCGCCGGGTGTGCGACTACTTCACCGCGATGTACCTGTCCGGGGAGCAGAGCAGCCTGGGGGATCAGACTGGTGCCGCCCTCATCGACCGACACCCGGCTTTTGGCCGACGGGGCGGAAGAGCCTTGCCGCGGACGTGGCGAGCGCTCAAGGCGTGGAGGCGGCTGACGCCCTCGCGCACCCGCCGAGCGCTGCCGCTCGCCGTGTGGTCGGCAGTGATGTGGCGACTGGTGGACAAGGGCCTCCCGTTCATGGCCCTGTTCCTGGCCGTAGGCCTCTCTGCCTAGTCGAGGCCCTCTTCTCTGCTGGCAGCTCGGAAGTGCGACCTGGTCCCGCCTTCGCGCGCTACAGTGGACAGCTGGAGTCTTCTGACGCACCCAGAGGAGGAGGGCAGACCAAGCAAGACGGATCGCTACGACGAGGGCTGCCTCCTGGACTCGAGCTACCTTCGGGGGCTAGGTCCGCTGTTCGCCGAGCTCCGAGGGCACGGAGACAGGACCAAGCTGTGGCCCTGCAACGTACCTGGAGCTCTCGCAGGCGGTGCAGCTGGCGGCGGCCGAGATCGGGGCTGGCAAACTGACACTGTACCAGCTCCGCCACTCAGGCGCGAGCATCGACGCCAGCAGACGCACACGCAGCCTAGGGGAGATTCGGAGGCGCGGCTGCTGGGTTCAGGCGAAAAGCATGCACCGGTACGAGCACGGCAGCCGTCTGAGCGCCGAGTACGAGCGCTTTCCCGCGGACCAGAGGCGCCTGTACGAGGCGTGCGAGGTCCATCTTATGAGGATCATGCTCGGCCAAGCTCACCCAGTCCGGTTCAGCCGTCGAATGCTGACCTGGCAGTCGCGCGCGCCAAGCTAAGGCGGAGCTTCCGTGGCTGCCGCGAGAGACATCTCGCTGCACAGCGTTTCGGCCTCAGAGGCCGGTATGTAGCAGACTTTTTTTGCGGGGAGCCGTTGCATCTCGCGAGCAGGTGAAAAGCTAGGCTGTAGAACACGCAGCTGGGACGTAGCCCACGATCCAGTTTGGCAGAATCTTGTCGATCCAAGGGTCCTCAGGGCGATCCGACGCGACGCCCGCCAGGGCCTTATCCTTGCAGCAGCGTTGGCCCCCCTCGTGCCAAACCTTCGCGATCGCGCGAGATCGGACGGCAAAGATCCGATCCCAGCACATGCCCTGGGGTTTGCCCAGCCAGTCGCTCAGTGCACCAGACCGAGAGAAACTCACGGTGGGCAATCGGATTGCCCACGCCGCCATAGGCCTGTTCGCTCTTTTCCATCAGCTCAAGATCCCTGCTGTTCTTGAGCGCCCGCTCACCTCTCGTCTGTGGCACACCGCAGAGATCCAAGCTTTAGCAAACTCGTCGCATGTCAGCTTAGTCGAACTAGACCAGTGCGAATTCAAAGCCCAATGTAAGAAGCCAGCTCGCCTCATGTTCTGTCACGTAACAGTTGGCGATCTCAAGAATCTTTGCCGAAAATGTAGTGGTCAGAGGGGGCAGCGCCCGCGGTCAGGCCTGCCTCATTTCCAACTCGAAGGCAGCGCCCGCGCCCGTCCAGCGGCTGCCTACCCGCCCGAGCTCGCACACTGTATAGTCCGGGCACTCACTGCCTCTTGCGTTGCCACGTTCAGATACAATTCAACACCCCTCCCTTCCCAGCCCTAGTGAACTCCCGTATTCGGGAAACTTGGGGAGGAGTGAGAGCGTGCATCGACTTTGACCTCTGGCCTGGACGTCTCGAGGCTTTCGTCAGATCCGTGTCCCTGCAATGTGAAAAAAAAGAGTTGCTCTATATGTTCTTGAACGGTTTGAGCTTGATCTTGTTGAATTCGGTGATGTCAGTAACTGCTAAACGATCCAAGGACGTTTAAACATCGGGATGCCTTCTCTCACTTGTCCCCGCTCTCCCCTCCATAGCCTGTCTTCGGCTCCCACCCTCCCACCCTGGGAGGAGTGAGAGCGTGCATCGACTTTGACCTCTGGCCTGGACGTCTCTAGGCTTTCGTCAGATCTGTGTCCCTGCAATGTGAACAAAAAAAGAGTTGCTCTGTACATGTGTTGATTCGAACATCAGCCCCTGCGTGCGATTGAAAGACATAAGTTAAAAGCTGCATCCTTGACTACATTCGCGTTTTTGTCGGGCTCGAAGTCGCCGTTGGGCTTTCTCTGCACAACGGTGTTGATGAACGCAGTTATGTTATCGCGACCCTTAGTCGCTTCCCACGCGTCCTTGATGTGTTCGGGAACCTGATCATGATCAACCATCCTGAGGAACTTGGCGAACCTGTTCCGATCTCGCGGCTGCTTGGAGCCACCCGCATCATCCTGAGAATGCGTCACTAAATGATGCAACTGAAAAAATGAGCACTACACATGATGGAACAAAGATGCACTTCTCGTTGCAATCGGAAGTTGCAGATATCAATGACGAAGGAAAGAAAACATAAACGGAGTCCTTATCATCGCCAGCATCGCCGCAGTCCTCCTCCATAGCCACCGATGGACGCTTGCGCGCGGCTGGCTCGTGCGCGGCTGGTGTTGTCATGACCCTTGGCGTGTAGGCCTTAGGGGGGTCGTCGTCCTCGCTCAACTCACAGTCCTCGACGCTTGAGTCGGCATCTTGTGGAACGTATCAGACATAAAAAGATGAGCACGCACAACACATGTGTTTCGCTCACGTGTCGTAAAGATTTGCAGATCACACATAAAATTGCAACACTACCGTTCACACTCGCGGAAATAACATTCCAAGCCCTAGAAGTCCTTGCCCCAAGCATCGATCTTAGCCGGGAAACCGCCAGCCACAGCGGGCTTCTTCGTGGCGCTGGCATTCATCGCGCCGATCGTAGAAGCGCTACAGAAAATGTGGAACTGGCACGATACCGGCGTGGAACTCTGGAGCACCAAGAAGCTCGTCAACGAGAATTGACAGAATACCAACGCCATTTGGAGATTGTTGTTGAAATATGGCACTCAAGCAAAATGTATAATACATGCAATGTGCATGCGCATTGTGTGTGCACCATATGTAGTTAACCTGTGCATTGCATGTACATTTCAAGTGTGTTATATGTAAACTACATGTTGTGTATATGCTAATTGCATGTACTGTATGTGTGGTTCGTGTGCATGTAATGTGCCGTTTGGATGTAGGTGACATGCAGTTCCGTATGTAGTGTGCACTAATTGTATGCAACGCATGTCTATTATACTGAATATGTGTTAATGATGTGTTGTAAGTCACACTACAGTTGCAGAAGGTAGCATATCAGAGAAGCACCGAAATTGCATGTAAACAGCATGTAAACAACATACAATATACATACAAGCAGCATGTCAACAGCATACAAACTACATACAACGTACCTGTACACACCATATGAACTACATGTAAGTCAGACGCAAGTCGCATGCACACTACATACCATGACCATGTGACGTACATGTAAGTTGCATGTTAATTGCATGTGTGGGTAACTGTAACCTGCATGTATTTTACGTCTGGTCCGCATATATGTGCGTCGCAGTGTTAACTCTACCTTGTACAATGCATCCAAAGAAATCTCAGGGCGACGTCCTGTCATACACGAGGAGGCGCGATTATTTATCTAACGGACGCGGCCCACCTCGTCTCGATCATGCGCTTGGCGCGCTCGCAGGCACGCTATGCGCAAATATACCTCGGGCAACCTAGGGCGCAAATTTTGGCGACCATCAATCAACATGCGACAGTTTGGGCGCCTGGATTGTGCAAGATAACAAATGAAGATACAACGCGCAGGCTAAGCGTGAGATTCACAAACATTGTGTTGCATTCACATAAGCATCAACGTTGGATCCAAATAGAAAACATCAAGATACCCAAACAACATGACAGCGACGGTGCCTCCACACCGCGTACTGGCCATCGTCGTGCTCATCCTGTTCGGCAGAGTCGTTTTCGTATGTGTCGCAGCCGTTGTCGTCGTGCCTCTTTCCTTGAATGTGGTCGCAAACGTCCTCGTCCTCCAATCGTTTCCCCCTCCCTTCCTTCTCGCCCTTCTCTTCCTCGTCCGTCCTCCACCTCCTCCTCCTCCTCGCCCTCCCCCATCCACGCAATTCGCCTGGCTCGAACATCGCGTCGCGCGGTGGTCAGTCCTCGACAGCTGGACTCGTCGGTGAAAGCTCCTCATTCGCATTCTTGACCAGGAACGGCACGCGCTGGGAGCGTTGATTTTCCCGGCTAAACAAACGCGAGCAAGTGCCAAATGCGCGTGCAAAAGATACATGATACGAAGCAATGCCTAGTCACAAACGCAGTCCAGTCTCAGCACAAACCGCAACATGAGCAAGCCAACGATGCAACCCAAGGTAAATGCGAACGCACGCACACGCGACAAATGTCACATTCAGGATGGACAAAAGTGAATATCCTCGTCAGGGTCGTCGCAGCGAAGAAGATGATCAGGCGGGGCCGACGCAGGCTGCCGCAGCCTCCGCGTCAGCACTGCTGCGACGGCAGCGTCGAGTCGCTAACCGAACTCGGCCTTCGCCGCGGCGGCAGCTGCGAGGACCTCTGCAGGCTGCGGGCCAATCGGCACCGCGGCCTTCGCCTCGGCGAGCACGTCGGCAGTCGGCGAGCCCACGGGCGCCGCGGCCTTCCCCTCGGACCTGGCGGCGAGGAGCTCGGGAGGCGGTGGGAAAGGCGGCTGCTGAGGCCGCGCCTTCACCCGCCTGGTCGGAGGCGAAAGCACCTTGGAGCTGGCGCCCAGCACGCGAGCTGCCGGCGGCGCCTCCGACGGGCGCTGGAGGCGGCGGCGCGGGCGGCCACCGCGCAGGCAGGGAGACCGCCGTTGGGGGCGGCGGCGCAGGCGGCCACCACGCAGGCCTGCTGTTGTGAATAGAACCCGTGTAATACCCTCATATATACTCCCTATCCTCACCTCTCCTGCGCCTGGCCGTTTGGGCTCAGGTATTGGGATAGATCGATCAGACCTTTGATCGCGCAGGAGGGAAAGACATCCATCTATCCCTCCTTCCCTCTACCAACGGATCAGTGGTTCTGTACCCTTGTACTTCAACCCCATACACAGGTTATCAGCCCTTTAAAGCTCACCGTTCATCGAACCGCACATCGCGACCTCGCACGCGGCCTCGATGGAACCCAAGCGGCGCATGCGCCGCAAGGGGTCCATCGGGGCCTCGCGTACGAGCTCTCCGACGGCGCGACGGCTCGGTGATGAGTTGGAGAGCCTTAGTGCGGACTGCGCTGGTGTCCCAGGTACCCCCCCCCCCCAACTCCGACGGACCCGAGGCGCGGCTAGCTGCTGAACTTCACCGCAGCGCCACCCACGGGGGGACAGGAGAAGGAGTAGGAATAGGAAGGAAGGAGTTTCACACGCCTACCTTCGATCCTCCATCTCCTCCTCAGTCGGGAGCAATCCCAACTGCGTCAGGCGAAAGCCTCACTGGTCCTGATACTCCAGGGCGCTTTCGCGCTAACCGCCGATGGGCCTCAGGTGCTGGTACCCCCAGCCCTGCGACCGTTCCTGTTGCGGAGCACGTAGCCACCTTCGAGGAACTCAGTAGACCAGTGGCGGCACAGCCGCAGACGCAGCACCCCAAGGTATCATCGGATGAGACACCATACACACCGTCCGCGCGCAACCGTCGCGGGGCCCCAGGCCCATACGGCGAGAGTAGGTCGAGCCTGCGTACTGCCTCTCAGAGGCCATGCACTCCCCGTGACGGGGACACAGGGAAGCTGACGCTCCCCACCTCTCCATCTCAG